TTCCGCGTTTTACCCTCTTTTCCGCGTTTTACCCTCTATTCCGCGTTTTACCCTCTATTCCGTTTCCGCTTTTCCGGTTCCGCCAGTCCGTTCCGTTCCGTTTCCGCGTTTTACCCCTACCCATTCTATAGTCCAGTATTATGCAGGTGTGCAGTAATGTCTTCACTTTTTAAAACAACAGCTTCTATACATATGGTAATGTGATATTGAAATGCAGGATCACTACATACGAAGCGATTGATTCAACGAGATAGAAGTGTTCCCCAGTTATCTTTCCACACGTATAAAACATGACTGTCTCCGCCATAATATACACAAGAAATTTATAGTGATGTATATAAGCCATACTATAGCGAACATGCATTTGTTTGCACAGCCAGCGAGTGGAGAGATGTTATCAATAGATATCATCTTTAGCCCATAGGCTATTCTTAAATCTTAATAAGATTGTTAACGCTGTTTTTGAGAGGAAACTGCCCGCAGTAATTTATTTTTATTAGATTTTGAAGAAACTGTAAAGCATGGGTAAGTTTCTTCTACTGGTATTGTGCGCCAGTCATTGTTTTTGGACATGAAACTCGCACCTTACATGTCATGTTTTTGTAGCACAATTTTGTGTTATATCGGGTACAAATATGTCGTGTAAGGCTGAATGAAACCCATCCATTACTCTCAATAGTCGCAAGTTTCAATGACCTGTGCACTGTCACATTCTAATACAAATACATTTTATAGAAAGTTGGTGTACAAATATGTACATTTTTAAAGCTATGTAATTCCCTGGATCGCGACATGGTACCTTGGCGTCCAGAGTTTAACACCCTGTATAGTTGAATGTTCTTATATTGCCAGATGAATGAAGTGACGGCAAATACAGACACAGGGATTACAAGTGATTACTATTTCGAAGACAGTAAACATACTTAAGAATTTGAATGAAAGAGACGAACTACAATATGTACTCTCTAGCGCAATGGAGCGTCCTAATTGCCTTTATTAAAAGCCTTTGGCTCTGCGGACGAGAAAGAGAGAGAGAGTATGTATATAATATGCGATTTTTTTATTTCTTGGAATAACTCTTCTCATATATCATATGTTACACCAGAGTATATATGTAGTGAATGAATACCATTGTTTTGTCCTAGAGATAAAATTGACTTCTCTTTAAAGTGAAAAACACTTAAACACACATGATCATTTCTTCTTTATTAGTTTATATGACCAGTTTTGATTTCCTTAAGGAGTATGTTTATGTTGTTAGCTTTACGTTATTGCTACAAGCAGATCACATAAGATAACATTGAAAAGCATATATAGGATTATCCTGCTAGACATTGCATGGACTTTACTCCACCAACCAATATTTAATGTCAAGGTTGGTAAACCTTCAATACTTTCATTGTGGAGCTGTTTTCAATGATATTCGCGAGTTTGTTTTTCAGTCAACAAGAGTTTATATTGATTAAAACAAGCAAAGTAAAGGTCAAGCGATTAAGGTCGCCCTTTACTTTGCGTGAAGTCGATTTATGACTGCTCATGAATGATAACAAAAACCTTATGTATGTGAAGCTGTAAAGATAACTGCATCAAAATTTAAGAATATTGCCCAGTTATCTTTGTCTCTTAGAACATGCAAATATTTAGAGGATCATATGACAAGCACAGTGTTTGTCAGTAGAGTTCATTTTCAAGTCACTTCAGTATCCACAGCTTATAATTACATCTTAAAATCTCTAGATTCCTTATATAAAACATACCCATGTAACCGTAAAAAGCTTTCAATAATGAGAATAATATACTATACTGAATTGCCACCACAAATTAATTCAACCCTTGGCATTCTGATTCAGCAAAGCCTATCGAGTAAACAGGGCCAAGAGAAAGCGCGGTAATTCAAATTTAGATTCAGGGATTCAGCTGGTTTCTCCAGAAATACATGTATGTTGTCATGCAGATATAGTTCTAAGAACAGACTCCTGTATTACTGATGTGAATTATGTTATCAAGATAAATACTACATGTTGTAGTAAAAAATGTTCAATGCAGTGAATGTTCAATGTTGGATCTTTGATTTTCATGGCTGAAGTTATCGCGTTCAGCAACTTCATAGACATAGTCACAAGCAGGCTTTATTTTACGTAGCTCTTATCCTGTCATATATCCAAATTAAACAATATGTAGAGACATACCATATGAACGACATAAGGCGTAAAGTATAGAGTGATATATTAATGATGTACTTACCTGTCTGCTCAGCAAAACTCAGTCTTGCTGCAACAGTTAGTACTAGTGTAATAACACCTGTTATACAGTGCATATTTATACCATGTATGTAACAGATACAAGTCTTGATGTATTTCATTGGCATTAATATCAAATCTTTTTCATCGTCCCGAAGGCGGGGCTAACCGCCATAGGTGATCATGTTAGAATGCATCTCGAGACAAAAAGAGAAATCAGCTTTGGAGTGCAAGCTCATTAAAATGCCGTTTCGTAGCCAAAATCTTAAGAATGTAAGGCCACTCGCTTTTCAAGTCTTTGTGCCCACTTTAATTAAATTACTTCTGTTACTTTAAGATTGCATGCGTGAAATATGAATACACGAGTGTTTATGTTTGCAACTGTTACTCATTATACACTCATTGCTTGTCAATCTATCCCCTATCAATTTCCGTCAATTTCCCAACTGATTTTTTTAAAAAAAGCTTTACAGTAGATATGGACATTGATGTGCTTTTGAAATAATATCCCCTCTCCCTTCATTACAGAATTTACCACCATGGAAGTCTAACGTTTCTATGACAAATAATACCAGTCAATGTCAGCCTGTTATGTAATTACTCATTTGACATTTATAACAGACGTTTTGGCATTCCAGCTATGTCGTTGTGCTTGTAAATTTAAATCTTTACCCCATGGCGCTGCATAGATAATCATCTGTCGAGTGTTCTATTTTGAAAAATCCATCATTAAAATATGTATAACTGGAGGGGGTAACATTTCAACTGTGGTGCTTTCGTAAAGACCTTATAGACGAGGGCCAAAGCCTTAATATCATTTAAGCTGTGTAGTATAAAAGAGGATAGACTAGAAGTATGGAATCCCACAATCCCTCACTTGAGACCCAGTAAACATCTTCTGAAAATATATTTTGATTTTAAGATTCTTCTCACCATTGTATGTGTGTACGATGTCTTAAAATGTTATTATAATCCTGAAGAACGCATGTATCCATGTAGCTAGTATAACTCCTTGTTTTCTTTATATGGAACAAAGATAATATCTAAATTTCTGCTAATCCGTTTCTGTCAACATTTAATAAAGAACAGCTTAACTTTAATCTCGTACAACACACGTTTGTCTTCGTATAAACTCACTGTCGTAAAACAAATGGTAGTCAACTTGTAATTTGTATCAATATCATAGTGTTCGTTCTTTACGTCAAATGTAAAAGTACTGTGAAAGTACCACAACATTAATTAGAGAATTACAGCTAAATTTTCTGGTTCCGATAAGGTTGACACTTCTGAAGTTATCTGATGCCCTGTAAACCTCTGATAATGCAATGTCTAGGCTATAAAGGCCAACCAGTTCTTCTTGTCTTGGTAGCAAAATTGTTACGGGGCTTATCTAGTATTCAGAGCTTCTGCGCTTGGACTGAATTTAATAGAAGTGAACCTGGTACCTAACAGAATTCGCCTGTTTACACAGTATGTGGCCTCAAATTTAATTCCTTCTTGTTTTCTGCGCCTAATGTATCACAGCTTTTTATGACCCAGAGCCTGCAAATTTGCCATCCAAGAAGGCGTATTTCCATCCTCGTCCCCAGGCCCATGCTCGCACGGCACGCGCGGGACGTGTTTCTAAAATGTTTCTAAAAATAACTTACTCTCCCCATTCTTCTGCTAAATTACGCATATTCAGTCCCAGTCTTCCGACCGTGGGAAAAATTGCGACTTCACATTCTTTCGCTGCTGGGGGTGATCGTCTTTACTTGAGGCATAAACAAAAAATTTTTAACTTATTTTGAGTTTTTCTTCACTTTTTCGTGTGGCAAAGAAGTGAATCACAATGATAAAGATAATCGTGACATTTGTCACATGTTTTGTGTCGGTTTTGATGATAGTTTTAGCGTTTGCGACCACGCATTGGAATCAACATACGACAAGAGAAGCTGGCTTTGATGCAAATCAAATCCACTATCATCACGAAGGCTTATTTGAAAGATGCTTTGATGTGTATGAAAATGACACGTTTGTTGATAGTAAGAGTAATTGTATGAACATTGATATTGAAGGTCAGTATAAAAATCTTGTGTGTATTCTATTACTTCGTTTATATAAAATAGAATAATATATTCTATAATAACACATTCCATAGAATAGTTTTATGTTTTTAAAGTTGTTCTAATTTTTATATCAACATTAATACATGGAATTATGTAACACTTTTAAACTGTTCTAATTTTAATAAACATTTCATAGAATTTTAAAAAACGTTCCATGGAATTGTTCAAATTGCTGTATTATTTATACAAGAACCAAAGAACTTTTTTTCTGAAGTTTATTGTAATTTGTATATTTGTACATCCATTTTTCAGCTTGGAATGTGATTGTCATGATTCTTCTTGGAATTTCGATGTTGTTCTTCATCTTGGCATTTGTGTTTGCCACTGTTTATTCATTCTACACAAGACGCTCAAAGTATCCTCTCGTCACTAACTGTAGTCTTGTAGGTTTAGCAGGTATGCTAATAATTATACTACACTTTGTAATATAGTGCCCCACTTGATTAGTTTGCTCTGTGTAATGCCAGATTATTTTACTCCTCAAGGGGAGAGTGCTGTTGCCGAATGGGTCAACCAGCTTTGTTAACTCATTAAGCTGTATTGTGCCCTAGTGCACCCTACTTGATTATTTTTTCTGTCAAGGGGAGAGTGCTGCTGCCCTTTGGGTTAAATTTTGACTTGTCCTAAACAGAAAACAACTATATACTTCTTGACATTTTGAGCAAAGGTCCTTCATCAGGATAGTTAGAAGGAAGATGTAATCAGCTGCTTTGCTTAAAACATCGAGAAGTATGTTTCTTTTCTGTTTAGATGCAGTTGGCTATTGAGAAATTTTCAAAAGTTATATATTGAATATCACTGCCAATGCTAGACCTGCACAGTTTGAGCTATTCCTACAATTCAAACCACTTCTCTTGATTATTTCAGCTCTTGGTGCATTTATTGCAATGATGATCTACACATTTAAACTTTGGGAGAATGACGTCTTCTTCAGTTGGTCGTATGGAGCAGGGTGGACTACTGTTGCTATGGCGCTTATTGGTATTGTCCTCATCATGGCTGATAGATAAATTGCAGACCACCACAAAATCTTATTATGAATGTTTTTTTTACCCCAACTCGGATGTATTTTTCATTACAGATATTGTATCTTTGTGTATTGTACTAACAATTACCATTAGTGTTTTTGAAGTGCAGTTTTGTAATATACATTTAACTCGCAAAGTTGTAAAGTAAAGTGTACTCACATAAATCTAGTTCATGTTATAGAAGAACTATAAATAGAATTGTAGGTCCCTTAATGCATACACTATTAATTAACCTGCGATTATAAGCAATACAGTACATTGTGTCATTCCACTGCAATAGAAACTGTACAATTTTTATTGATAGTGTTATAATCCATTGTAACATGTAAAGTAATTTCCTTCTGAAAATAGCTTTGATCATGGTTTGATATACCATGTTGTAACAGTGTGTTCTATTCAGTATTTCAATATATAATTAAAGAAGACTAAAAACATTTTTGTGTAATTTCTTGTATCTCAAATATAAATAATTGTCACACACACAATTATCTCATTTTTTATTTCCAAACTTATACTTTAACATATGACTTATTGTTGTATTAGCTATTTCATGTTCATCCATATTTTGACCAAAATAATCAACAAATTCTCCATCTGGGTCAACAAGATATAATATCACTGAATGATCAACCTACAAGAAAAACAAGGTGAGTTAGGTATACCATGATGTGTCTTTCATCTTGATGACTGGATCTGTGTAATATATGTTTGTGATTATAAACTGTTATTCTACCTAACACCATAGGTTCTGTTCAGGTGTACTTGAGGTACCTTACTGGAAGCTCTTGGGAGAACAATTTATAACTGATATCCAGTAAAGTTAGTTTAGATACTTACTATATAATCATTGTCAGCATCAGCAGGGCCTGCACTGTAGTATACTCTGTAAACTTTACATGTTGCTTTCACTTGTTCTTCTGTGCCAGTTAGACCAACCAATCTTGGGTGAAAATCTGAAAGAAAATAAGAAAATGAACAAAACTCGCTTCTTTTGAAGAATGAAAAAGCTCTTCATTTCTTTACCTTTAATATACTCAGCAACAGTCTTGACGTCATCTCGTGCAGGATCCACTGTGATAAATATTGGCAGAACTTTGTCTGGGGCATCTTTTGTACTGTCTATTTCAAAACAACAACATGTATTGTTTAACAATTTCTATGCTATTGATAGAGAGCTAAGGAGAACTTCAACATTAATTTCCAGTGAAGTTAGTGTACTCCTAACTTCCTGATGAAGTGCCTTTGCTCGAAACGTTGAAATTCTCCTTGTATTTGTAAGGGAGTTGTATCCCTATCAATCCAAATCTTTCTTATTATTGCCACTACCTACTCTGCCACAGATCATTCAAGACTATATTGTGATAATTTAGTCTTTTCAGTAACCATCTTTCCCATTTAGAGTTGCCACCATCAAATGTCTCACTGTCCCACTTTGTGAAATGAACTAACAAATTAGCCACAATTGTGAACTACACTATACCTATTTTATCCAACGCATTTTGTAACTTTTCTAAGGTTTCAGGGCAGATATCGGGACAATGTGTGAAGCCAAAATATAAGATCAACCAATGACCAAAATAGTCCTTATTTGTCACAGTTTTTCCTTCATGGTTCACAAGGGTGAATGGTCCACCAATCGCTGCTTTCCCTATTGACCTCTGTTTCTCTGCTTCTCGTTCTAGCAAAATCAGGGCACATTTTGAATGACTTTCAGTATTGCTATCACAAAATAATGTTTCTGTTAATACAAGTGGCGACCGCTTTGCGAAACTGGTTGGGGATGAGATTTTAAGTCAGCAGTGTATTCTGTTGACCCTCTTCTTGTTGTAAATGTTTGGTTTAATAAATATGAACATTTGTTGAAATATAATAGCATATTAAGCTCTTCCTTCAAGGTTGTAAAATCATTGCTGCAGCTTTGTTGCAGTTATTAATAATTAGAAATTGTTGAGTGGCAGTTGCTCTCACCCAGAAACAGACTTCCACCCCCCTCACCCAGAAACAAACTTCTACCCCCTCACCCAGAAACAAACTTACACAGCTCCCTCATCCAGTAGTAGACTTCCACCCCCCTCCCCCCTTGGTGTGATTGGTCCAATCATTAAATGGAAAGCACCCCACATCTTGCAGGCTAACAAAGGAATCTCGGGGTATATAAGCAGGCATGCTGCTCCTGCTTTCTATGAAAATATTCAAACATCACCAGCATACTTTTTTCCATTTCGTCTTTTGCTTGTTTCACATAATACACAGCAGCTCCGCCCACAATAACTGTGGCAATCAATCCAGTCCACCTGATTGGACCTCTCTTGCTACTTTCTTTCACAAAATCATATTTCTTCGGTGGTTCTTGAGACATTGTACAACATGGAATTTTTTTCCTAGACCCTGTTTGACCTATCTTGATTAGGAAAAAAGTTCAATGATATCACTTTTTGCCATTTTGGTGGCTTTGATCAAGCATTACAGGGCAGCAGTTCGTGGTCAACCATAAAAATGTTAACACTTAATATAAGAGTAAGGAAATTATAGTGAATCTCGTTTCTTTATCTGACAAGTTGTAACTATCTGTGCTGGTTAATAATTGACCACCTACAGGCTAGAGCATGATGGTGCTTTTTAATTAAACTCTTCTGTAGAGTAGGGCTGGCTTTATTTTGTATTGCTTCCTTTTGGTAAAATACGTTTCATACTTTAAAATGTACAAACTTAGTATGGATTTTCTTTTATATTGTACTGTTTTCTATTATTTAATACATTGTAGGTATTAAATTGTACGTACAAATTTATACAGTTTGTTGTTGTATGATGTGACAATATGAATCCGACGTGTAGCACGAATTCCAGCTAAGAAGGAAAGATAAATTATTATAAAACATTATTTTGAAATGAATTAAACGTTATAAAATGTATTTTACCTATAGTTGTAATTTTGGCAAAATTTGCCGCCATATTGGAAATTAGATTCTTGTACATTTAAAAATTAAGGGGGTGGGGGACTCTGTATGGTTAATGTACAAAATTTTAAATAATTGGGAAATATATTGCAAATGATGCGGGTTTCAATACAATATTGTAGAAAGATAGAGGAAGATAACTTTTCGTTGGTAGTATAAACTTTTTATTAAATATTTTAAAGTAATAAAAGAGATTTAAAAGTGTGAACATTCAAGAGTTGGTGCTGCCTGCTCCCCCCTGGAAGAGGTCATGACAGCAGTTATGCAATCATGGCAACATGGCGTGTTTATGTCAAAAACACAAACATTTTAAAGCAAAAACATAGCATACAATGTTGTTTTAACTTCTATATTCCTTATGTTATTTTTCCAAGACTTTATAGAGAAATTTTAGCTATATTTTGATGACGACGTATTGTAAGTTTTTACTGTGTTATGAAGAAATTTTAGTTATTAAAAATATAAATGGCAACTGACCCGGTGCAAGAAGAGAAGATTTTTGTTGGTGAACAAAACGAAGCTGACCTAGCTGAACGGAAAGATTATGAAGCGGATTTCGACACTTTTGATGAGGAAGACAGACCACGTAAGCTAACAATCTCAAATTTTAGTTGTTTATAGTTATATTTTTGTATTGAAAATATAATAGAAGGTACTTTGATTGTTAATGTTTATTTTTAATTATTTTGTAATTCTTGACAGTTGTCACATGATGGTAATGAGTTTTCCTGTGTGATTTTCAACTTCTTTGAACAAATTACTTATAAATGACCAACATAAATACTGCATTGAAAATATGTCCAGCAGTTGGCTATTTATAATCCTGACATTCATGTCAATCAAATAATGTTCCCTCTTTCTAGCTGCATATCAAGAACATGAGAGTGATCCACTATCTGATTTTGAACACAATGTCATCAGTGACGAGGATACGGAGTCATTAACTGGGTATGTGAATATCAGAGGCAGCTTGAGTCAGTGGCACCACCAGGATTTTATTTGGCGGCAGGGCGGGGGGAGGGGGGAAAGTCACAATTCTAGGGGGTCTGTCAACAAATTGTCAACAAGATTCCCTGGAAAAAGATGTCTGAACAGGTTCGCAACATTTAGACTAATTATTATAGAAAACAATTGTTTTCTTTTGCACAGATCAAGTCTTTATAGGAATGGTTTTATGACCATTTTTGCAAATTGCTTGCCTGATGTGGTGCACAATATTCCACATGCATATCAAAATGTGTGGCCAGGCCTTCTTAGTTATATATAGAGATGACATATGCACTGAGTAATGTACTACCAATACTTACTGTAGGAGTCTGGATGGTGTGACTGGTGGTGATGAATATGAACTGACTGGAGATGACACAGAATATCATTCAGATCCTGTCACAAAACAGACCAGACAGGTATAGGTAGATCTCTCATAGCGATTTAATATTGTTAGTAACTTGATGGAGGAATGATGTATCTATCCTGCCTGCACAGCTATCCTTGTTTTTCCAGTAAAATTGTTTTAAATGACAAATGTTTGAAATATCCAAAGGTTGTCACACTTCCCAATATGTTAATACTCTTATTTAGGAAAAATTACGCATGTTAGCTTTACGAAGACATCTTGATCTACTGAGTGAACAAGTGTTGCAGAATGATTATCTTGTCAACCAATCAAGGTAGCTCTTTTCACTCTGTTTGAAATGTGAATATAAATGGGCATGTGAGGAAAGTATTATTCTAGAGCAGATGATGGTTAACCTGCAGAAATGAAATGAATAAGGAAGGAAGTGCTCCTATAATAAGTGTGAACATTTCATATTATCTGCAGCCCTGTTTTTCAGTCAGACTGAAATGTACTGTGTACATTTTTTTTGACAGTGAGGAACTGAAGAAATGTCAGGAGAATATCCAGTCCCTGGAAACTGAGATACAGAAGATTGCACAAGAAATTGAATTGCAGGAATCAAATGAGAATACGTAAATATTGTAACCTTATATCCAAACTCATCATTGGGGGAATCAAAATTAACCCATTGTCAATGTACATATAATCTAAAATATCCTGTAATAGTCTGTTGCTCTAGTCCAAGGCGATCCCCTACTTTCCTCTTTAGCTTCCTCAGGTTGAAGTGAATGCCTAACAATATTTACAGCAAATATGGACCCTCTTAGAATAAGCCTCATGATCCTCTAAATATCTGAGAGTGTCAGTTACCAAGACAAAGTATACATGTAATATTTCAGCTCTTCCATATATCGTCTCAAGTCTCAGTATACAAAGCTGTGCAGTGAACTGGAAACTGAACGTGAAGTTGCAGTGGGAATCAGAGAAAGACTGGTCAGTGCTGAGTAAGTGACATTTAATTGTGACATTTGAGTGATAAGTAGTGATTGTACAGTTAAGCGTAGCCTGCGTAGTTTGTCCTAAACGTCTCTAATGTGTTTAGATACTCACTCTCATTGGCTACAATGGAACAAGGTCGTTTCTTATTGGCTGGCGAGGAACTTGAAAAAGAGGAACAATTGGAAATGAAGAATAAAGCAGAAGCGAGTGCGGGGAGGATAAGAAAAGAAAATGTTACTGCAACGGCGGCAGAGAAGAGACGAAGAATAAGAGAAAAGTATATTTTAATGACGGAGGAATTTTCCCCAGATAGATGTAAATTATGTGTTGTGTAAAATCTTCTCATTGACACATTGTAACTTCATATAGAGATCACATCACAACACTCCGTGAAAGAGAAAGGAAACACCGTCATGCGATAAACATGGCGAAACGAAGCAGAGAGCAGGCTTCAAAGTTTTTAAAAGAGACTATGTCAAGGTAGGTAGGATGGTGAGCGATAATTGGGAAAGTATGTCTTTAATCTTTAATCTGATACTCCTAAATCAGCTTACAACTATACTAGGAGATATATATGTATAATATATCAAAAATTATTTTGATAAACTTTGTGTTTTAGAGTTCGTTTAAAAGAAGCTGAAGAGGAAGAATTTCATCGTGTTGACATGGAGAACAGAATAAAAAATTTACTTAGCTTAAAAAGTAATATTGAGAGTAATAAGGTATGTCTGAGGATAATAAGGTATGTTCGAGGATAATAGGTATGTCTGCGAATAAGGTATGTCTGAGGATAATAAGGTAATTGTCTAAGGATAATAAGGTTTGTCTGAGGATAGGAAGGTATGCCTGAGGATAATAAGGTATGTCAGAGGATTAGGTATGTCTGAGGGATATGTAAGGCAAACTGGCTAAAATAACGTGATCTGGCTGGACTTATTCTGGGAACAAATAATTCCTCCTAGTTTCCACCCGATCAACACAAATCCAAACTACACACAGTCTGTGTAAGTAGTGCCAATAAATAAGAAAGGTAACTTCACGACGAAGGGCCTTCGCTCGAAATGTCAAAGTTCTCCTTGTACTTTTCAGATAGTTGTATCACAAACTACACCCAGAAGTTTATCTGTTCAGATTTCCTAGACTGTTCAGAGTTGGGTGATTGTTTTGTTTGCTGTATTAATTCGTACACACCGAATGGATCATTTGCATTATAGACTAAATTTTGATCTAGACAGAAATTTCATCACAGCTTGAAAGAGCATCACAAAATTAGTAATATTCCAAAGTTTCGTTGCGAAATGTTGTAAAATGCAGATAATATAGCCATGCGAAGTTTGCCGTTTTTCAGTCATTTTGTATTACGCACGGGAAATTGACAGCCCAATCGGGTGTTGGGGCATCAATTTCCCGTTTGTAATACAAAATGACTGAAAATTGCATATTTCGCAAGGCTATATTATCCGCATTTTACAACATTTCGCAACGAAACTTTGGAATATTACTAATTTTGTGATGCTCTTTCAAGCTGTGATGAAAGTTTTGTCCAGACCAAAATTTAGTCTATAATGCAAATGGTCCATTATCAAGCGAACTTTCTTTTCTCCATCAAGACGGATCATCCGTCGTGCCAATATATTTATTCGCTGTTTCATGAACAAAATCTTACCTGTCTAGGAAAGTCTTCGTGCTGTCGAAGCAAGACGTGTTTACTTAAAAAATGAACAAGAACAAAGAGATCACCAGGAAAGAGAAGAGATTTTGACTGAAGGATTGAATCCTGACGAGGTTTTAACAAGGCGCAAGAGAATAAGACAATTCGAGAAAGATAAAGAGTAATTCTTGATTATTTTATAGTAGTACTTGGGTGTCCCTCCATATCACAAATTGATTATATGAATTAAGTTAAACACAAGTAAACCAATATATTCCACAAGTATATATCTTTACAATCTTAACTGTTTTAATGGCTTTGTTAAAAGTTATATGTTGGGCTCTCATATTTATTATAAGAATTCGTTTTTCGCCTGGCAAACCTCTGGCAACGATATTAAAGTATATTCCATGTCTATATCATGGTCAACTTTTTATTTTCATTTCGTTTTCTCGGGATTTCTTTCTATTAACTGTCATTTTATTTCAGAACGTTTGAAAAGAGGCAGAGAGAGCGACAGGTAGAGACTTCTAAGTACTTCCCTTTCTGCAACTTATCATAGATCGATTTCACTGTCATGCATTTGATTTTTATCAATGTACGGTTATCGGAGTGAGAAAGTCATGTAAATTGTTTTCATTGCATTTGGTGGAAAATAAATTCAATTGGGTCACGTAGTTTAACGTTATTGCTCGTAGACTGTCAATATTTGGTGAGAAATAAGTGGATTTAGGTCATGTATAGTTTAACTTTACTGCGTCTAGAGAGTGTGCCTACGTTTTTGAGGTTGACCAGTATCTGCTGTGACGCATCCTTGTTGGAAGCCACTAAAATGAATATAATTATTGCAGATTGAAATAGCTGATAAGTTAGTACGCGAAGAAAAGCAAATGAAGAAACGATATCAACAACAGCCACAACTTTGGACAGACAAACAACGCGATAGAAACAAGGTAACTGTTTTATATCGTGGAAAACACCATGTTTAGTTGTTGGGAAATAAAGCTTTCGATCCGGAGGTCTAAATCTTCATCAGCTAGTGCATGAAACCTATAGGAAAGGTACTGTACTTTCAAATAGATAGAAACCAAGGGGCTATTGTTCACAGTTGCATGAATTAGCTCTAACACTTGTTTCAAAACTTTTGAATATAAAACTTCCATTCATCCAGACAATCCAGACATGATCTCTGGGAAAATATCTCCAAGTTTATCACCAAGCTGTTGGTGAAATTGTTTTGTAGCTTTTCGTTAACCCAGGATAAAGGTCTTCAAGTTAACAAGATATGTGCATGTTACTGTGTAAAAGTTTGACTTTGTTAAGGTGCAGTAACAAGAATTTAACGTGTGTTAAATCACGCCTGTATTACAATACGCGAAAGAACATGCATGGATATTATTAACTAACATTAATTGAAATCAGTTTTTGTTGCAAGTTTCAGCAATTCTTGTATTACATCACCTTTCATATTGTTCTTCATTAGAGATTTGGACGTCGAAAGAGCAAGTCAAAATCTTTGAGAGTCTACAGTGGATCGTCTTCAATGGAATACAGCGCTGACGCTGAGGACGCTGGGGTATGAAGCATATTACATGACATTTACGTGTTGTCCAGCAAGTTGAGTAGCAACAATGTGAACTTACTATGTTCTGTTTATTCAAGGGAGCATTCGTACCAAGCAAACTCATCACAGTCTCCTCAGATGACGAAGACGAGTTCTCTCCATTTGGTCATACAAGTCGAGACGAGGAGAAAGAAGGGTACAACTAAATAAAATACAACAAATATGCTGACTATCCTGGTTCTCCCGAATTTCACCCGTTTTTACATGGAACTAACGGTGCGGCTTGCGAAACCAAAGCACTCGAGTTCACTCAAGCCTCACTCAAACAAGCATTAGAGTTGACGAGGACTGATAAGACTTACAACTCTTAGGCACTCTCATCGATACTTATGCAATCTCATCAACTTTGAACTGATTCAAATATTGATGAGAGTTGATGTGAGTTTTCGCCACGGGCGCGGTAATATCCACTCAACTGTCATGCAACTCTTGTTCTCGTTTCACCTGGCGCAGAATATAAACCACTTTTTGAACGAACCTGAAATTATACTTTTGCGAACAAGTTTCACAGTTGTAATCTGTCAAGAAAATGCCATTGACAACATTATATTCGCGCAAACAAAGCATTGATAATCAGCCTGGATAGGCGAGCCAGCCTGAGTCATTGACATTGTGTTGATACGGAAAATACCAGCCCAGTGTAAGTGAGATCCTGGGTCAGTTGCGGCGGAATCTCGCTTAGGGTGGTAAACTCGGTTCCTATGTAAACACAAGATGAAATTTATTAGGGAATATTAACAAGCAACCCTAATTCATTCTATTCCAGTGATTCTGATCATGAGGGCGACGATCTGGCTGAACCTGAATTTCGAGGATTATGGGAAGAAAATGAGAAAAATGAAAATAAGGTCTGCAATCAATTGTTTTGTCATCTTAACCTATACGTTATGTGATAAATTGAGAGTATAAAAGTCCCCTTGCTGTATCATTTAATCTTTCTAGATAATTATGAGCTCTGTATTGTTATTTTTAATATAGCCAGCTACTGGACTCTGTAGTTTTAATCTTGTTTTATCGAGCGATACGCTCAAAATTTAGAATATATAAAAAGTGTATAAACGAACATAAATTATGTTATTTTAGAATTTGGATAGAGCTGAAACGAAACTAAAGTTCACAGACCATATTCCCAGTAAAACCGAACAGGTAGAATAGTTCGTTTCATTTATTTATTTCATCACGGTATTTAGTATTTTTGCACAAGTGAATATAACAAATCCTACAAGTTGATTGGTCAAATTAGACGTATTAAGCTGTCGTATAGTTAAATAGTAGAAATTGAATATTTTAGGAAATGATGGAACGTGCTTTGATGAAGCAAAAAGAAAGCATTGTTCAGAAACAAGTTGCTGTTGGAAGAGAATTTAAGGTTTGTCAAGCAGAATGGACCATATGCATTATAGACTAAATTTTGATCTAAACAAGTCTAGATAAAAATTTCATCATAGCTTGAAAGAGCATCACAAAATTAGTAATATTCCAAAGTTTCGTTGCGAAATGTTGTAAAATGCTGATAATATAGCCTTGCATGCGAAGTTTGCCGTTTTTCAATCATTTTGCATTACGCGGGGGAAATTGACAGCCCAATACCTTTTGGGGCTGTCAATTTCCCGTTTGTAATACAAAATGACTGAAAAACGGCAAACTTCGCAAGGTTATATTATCCACATTTTACAACATTTCGCAACGAAACTTTGGAATATTACTAATTTTGTGATGCTCTTTCAAGCTGTGATGAAATTTTTATCTAGACTTGTTGAGATCAAAATTTAGTCTATAATGCAAATGGTCCATTGAAACAGGATGATCTCACGTGGTTATATACTTTTTTCTTGTTTCATCTAGGGACAAGCATTCTACAGTAAACCAGAAGTAGTCATTTTTAAGGTACTGTAGATCTTTAATTTTGTTGAAAGGTTTTAGATGTCAGTATTGTCACTCCAGTAAGCCAGGCTGTTAAGCTTATTCCATATGTGTCGATCGTATAAAACTACAATTGATTTCATTCGTAGGACTTCAATATTGGGAAGAGTTATCGTAAAAAAGTTGTACTGACCAATGTGTCATATACACAGAACTTCTGTAAATACATCGGCATGTCCTCCCATTTACTGGATTTTATTGATATAATGTAAGTAAAGTTTGTTGACTCCCATTGAGAGCATCCAACTTTAGCTTTCTACATTGTGTTCCATTCCTTATAATTGTTACTTTTTAGTTACGATCCGCCTGGGGCAATGTCCGCTGGCCTGACGTGTGATTTCACTGTAATATTTAAGCCAATGGTAAGCGACTACAGAAATGATCCGGATTGGAGACCTTTGCCGGCAAAACCTGCGATTAAAACTACTCCCACGCTTTGTATAAAACACATTAATTAAATCTAGTCCTGCTATGATCTTTTATCCAGCTCAATGAAGATCTTGTTGGTCAAATAGATTTCTTGGCTCAAACTGGACCTTTTTCTGTACCTGTGAAATGTTTTACTAAGAAATGCCAGGTACCTTTCTCTGCATACATTCATTATGTATTGTATTTGACAGTCCATCTTGTTCTAGTGACATTTCGTGTGTTTAGGTCAGCGTTGATAAAAATGAGATAAATTACGGCAGTCAAGTTCTGGGAGAAATTTGTAAGAAGACGATCATGTTAATCAATGATGGTGCTTTAGCTACCAAGTTTAATGTAAAGAAAATCCAAGCCGAGCCTGCATCAGTTGCTCCATTACCTGAGTCGGTAAGACCTTAAACGAGGCTTTATTTTATATAGCCGGATCAGTCCGGAATTTCTGTATTTACTGTACACTACGAGCCTTGGTTTTTGAGCCTTTATTTTTTGTTGTTTTGTAGGAACTCGGATCAAATATCGCAGAAAATTCTGTGGGAAACAAGCACAATGAAGAGCAGTCAAAAAGTACGTATCTTGTGCTATACAGAGAGTAGACTGAGTAGTAATTATATATTTAATGTTCCAGTCTAACGAGGTTGAGAGTTGATGAAAATGATTAAGTATGGTTGATTAGAGTTGATGAAAGTTGATAAGAGTTGATGAAAATTGGTAAGAGTTGATGAAAGTGATTAAGTATGGTGGATAAGAGTTGATGAAAGTTGATAAGAGTTGATGAAAGTGATTAAGTATGGTTGATGAAAGTTGATAAGAGTTGCAAATATCGGCCGCGTTCGACCGTCAACTCTCATGCACTTTCATCATGGCAACTACACACGGTAATGTCCAGTCCATATCTTCAACTCCCATGCAACTCTTCTCGTCTGAGAGACTGACTCATGTGGACTCATCAGCTCTCATTCTCGTTTGATCAGGGCTTCAGAAACACGGAAATATATCTTATGATCGTTTGACGCATATTTTGCGGTGCATATCATTGAGAGTGTCATCTAGAATTAACTCCCATAAATATGTTATCACATATTTTTACCTTAGTTGGTAATGATAGAATCCAGGATCAGGCAAACATTGTTCAAACACACCAAGACACGAATATCGTTTCTAAACAACAAGAGCCAGGACAAGAAGACGCACAAGGTATTTCTCAATTCAGTAGATTAAGAAATGTATTGAGAAGACATTCTCCTGGCAAGGAACTGAAGTGTGGTCCATCCTAACAATCTCAATTCATAACCCTAGACTGTGTGGATGGACATGAAGGTGAACCTAGTCAGATGGACAATGTTTTTACTGTGGGCAAGGTATGTGATATATCATCATGGCCCCAAGCTCAGGTAGCAACGCTTATATCATCATGATCATCATAATCATCATGATCATCATAATCATCATCATTATCATCATCATCATAATCACCATTATTATCATTATCATCATCATCATGCAATAAAGCATCAACTATCCTTGTCCCCAGTACCGCGCTACGTTGTTACCGTGGACCTGGGGACGAAGATGTACATCAACTGGATAGTGATTTTTAACCTTTGTAAAAGTGCCTAAAAAGTTTAAGTCACTATCCTCGTGTCCCCAGGAAGGTTTAGAAATGTGGTAGCTGTGGTACTTTTAAATGTAAATAAGTATTCTTCCTTTGTCTTAGGTTTCCTGTGGTGACCTTCTTCCGTTCTCTTCAGTTCAAGTTGATATAATATTTGCGCCCGTGAAACCTGGTGACAGCAGTTGCTTGTTTGAAATTACTTTTGAAGATACTGCAACTTCACCGGTAAGTCGTCCTTCCAGTGTAAGAGCATTCCCTTGGCTGCTCGCAGGCTACGATTGTATGCTCATGCATGAATTATCATATTTCTGCGCATATATATACTCTGTATTCTGAAGTTGAAGTATAGTAATTTCTTCAAAAGTGGAAAATGTTGCTAAAAGATATATAAGTTGTTTCAAAGGTGTTCACAAACTTTATATCGACAGTGTTTTGATTTATTTAGATCATTATTACTGCTCAAGGAACTGGTATTGATGTCCCCGTTTGGGTAGATCGTGAGGTACAGTGCAGTGCAGTTTTTGGTACTTTTGTACAGAAGAATACAGTACGATATAGTGCAATGCAATGGCGTACAGTACGGACAATATAGTACAATATAGTACAATATAGTACAGTACAACATGTCTATTTCTCCAATCCAAAATTGCTTTATATGGTTTGTTGTAGGTAGTTGATCTCAAGATTTGTATGTTTGATCGACTCTATCAAGATGCCATTGTAGTTAATAATAGGTAAGATTCAAAGATAAATTATCCTGCTTTCGATGAGCTTCCTATCAGTGAGACACTAAATGAACTGGATGGTTCTACCTATTTAAACTGTTCTTTCTAAAGGTCCAGAAAATCTCTGCCTTTGTTGGTCCAGTGCTATTACAAGACGAGACTTAAACAAAACTAAATTCATTTATTCTCGATAAACTTCTGAAGTTTTGAGTTCTAAACTGTGCTGCTGGGAGTCCCAGTGTCCCTTATTGATCCTCCCGGGAAACATAATGAAAACCTACATAAACAACGGCTGGTTAAATTAATGTAATCTACATGTCCACAATTTTATCCTTCATTTCATTCAGAGCGACGTCAGCGCTGAGACTTAAGTTTGAAGTGTGTAAAGAACTAAAGAATCACCTGGAGTTGCTACCAAAGACCGCCTACATTCAAGCTCAATCACAATTCTCCGCTCAATTGAAATTTTTACCAAGGTGCGTAAAGGTTGTGCCGTCGTACAGCTTGCAGTAGTCAAAATGATGTTTTATCGTAAGAAGTATAGTTGATGAGAAATTATGATGTCAATAAATGTTGACATTTTAGCAGGAAGAAAATTAGCGTGCCTGCCCTGGAGCGCTTACTTAATCCCACCAATTGACACGTAAATGATCGCGCCGGGAAAAGTCTTCGATTTCTTTGTTATGATGTCGATGAGAGTTGACGATTTCCCCTTGTTGGAAAACATGCACTAGTTTATCGTCGTTTGACCTCAGCATAATTTTTGTTTATTTATAAAGAGGAAACTCAAGATTGGTTAATATTTTACTGACACGAGTTTTGTCAAACATCTGATTACTTTGTAGTATCGAGATTTTGGGCAATCTCGTTCGATAAGTCTAACAGTTCAAGGGTTTTTTTGTAGATGGAAATTAAAATATTATAATAGACTTACTTCATAGTCGCCTAGCCACACTCAATACATGTGTCTTTGAGTGATGTGGTTGTTTCATATATGTAGTCTCAGGATCTGAAAAACGTTATTTTTGAAATAGGAAGACATTATTCGAAGACTGTCCTGAGTGTTTCAATAATGAAACTGGTTTACTTGAAGTTCCACTGGTGATCAGAGTCGCTGACCAGGTAATTTCTACAAAATGTTTGATTATTGTTTCACCTCAATGTGAGAAGAATGCTTCCAGTTTTTTACTCTATCAAGCACCGCTGGCTTTCTCCAGGTACTCCGAGTGCTGGACACTAGGCTATCCAATGAGGAGTCGCTGCTTGTATTAAACCTTTTATTTTCATATATATAGACACGTCCAGTCCACTTCACGATGCGTGCAATTATCACTCCGTCGGATATTGAGTTCAGTGTTTCCGAAGTAAATCTAGGTTACTGCACTACAGTGGAATCAGTACGTCAGACTATCACAATGACAAACAAGTCAATTCTTGCTCAGATGTACGGGTTTTGTGGCGTACCTGAGGTATTTATACATCGTTTCTTTCTCAGTAGGGCATCCACAGGCGTCCTTAGACAGCCTTTCTCTCGTTCAGGTTGAGCTGCGTCCTCCGTAATTCAACTCATCTCTGTAACTCATCTCATCTTCGTAATTCAACTCATCTCTCAGCATTCTCGTACCCAGAGCCCTTCTTACACGCGGTGCGACGAGGGGCTCTGGCCAAATCCATATTTCGAACTGGCATCTGATTGGCTAGATCTAACACAGGATATTGTTTTCTTACCATATTTTTATGGTATCCGGTTATGGATTTGGCCAGAGCCTCTCGTCGCACCGCGCGTAAGAAGGGCTCTGGGTACGAGAATGATCTCTCAGCTGTAAGTGCGGATGATTAGCACAGCCACATACTTATGTCATGGTTTTGTATTTAGTGTTTTGAAGTACAACCTAACGATGGTTTTGGAACATTGCTTCCTTTGGAAAGTTTGGATATTGATATCATTTTTAGTGCCAAAAAAGCCCAGGTATTTATTATCTCCACCACAATTATCTAACGTATATATATAGCGCTTGATTTGTCACTCTATATAAACGCAGACTGTCTTTCACCCAACCCCCCGGAAGAGACAGATTGTATGCCATCCACCAGGGGGGTGGTTATATTGTACCATGAGATCATTCTTCTTAGGAGTACAACTTGGAGCTGGTTTGTAAGAATGGTATTGGTACAGAATACCGCGTATCGTGTAGAGGGATTGGTGTCTACCCACCGCTGGCACTGTCCCAGTCCACTATATCATTCCGCGCGACTGCCGTGGCCGACAGCTCGATCGCAAGTCTGGAAGTGGTCAATAGTCATACTGATGGAAATGAGTTTACCCATGAAGTACCGCGCATTGGACAAGGACCTGTGGCCAAGCTTGGACCAACCACATTTGAGTTTGTTGTCCCCCCTGGCGCTCCAGTTACTATATCTCCTGCAGTGGGAGTGGTTATGCCTGGCCAGGTAACTTACTACACATGAGAATTATTCGTTATATGCTTTACGTATTACATCTAATATATAGACGTATTTGGCACAGTTGGGCTTCCTGCAATATATGCCATTGTCTGATTATAATTCTGCCTCGGCCGTTTGTGAGAAAGTGCTTCTAGTTCAACTCAAAACATCGCACTTTCAGCCATTTAGGCATTCTGGTCCCTTACTTGACCTCGAAGGAGGACTGTTTGTACTGTGATGGAGAGCTATTTAGCGTCACATTGAATGTAATGGTGGAAGTGAGATCTGAACATGTCTATTCGTATGAGATGGTGGAGCTCTAGGAAAGAAGTATTTCGTCCAGTATTAATAAGGTTATTTTCTGTCTTTCAGAGTTGTAATATTGAGGTGACATTCAGTCCTCGACTGCCGGACTCAGACGTTATGCAAGAAGCATGTCGTATTGCAGAGAAAATGGCGGAAATTAAACGCAAGATGAGCGAAGAGAACGCGGCGAAGGAGAAGCTGGAAGATGTCCCACCTCCTGGAAAGAAGCAGTTGGGTAAAGTTGGGAAAAAGAGCGGGAAAGGTTCACCAAAACGAGGCCAGACACCCGCAAGTACACCTGGGATACGCAATCAAACAACACCGAACAAAACAAGTAAAGATTTTAAAGAGGGGTAAGCTAGACATTGAGATAGCATACGCTGTGGAGGCTTTGTGGTGGAAAAATGAAATAATTTACCCTTTGACACGGCGGCTTGCTGTTGTATATTGCACTGCACTGCATCCATACCTCCTCTGCAGGCCTTTCTAAAAGTGGAGGGGGGGGGGGGGGGACGAGATTAGAGAATTCTTTACGGCCTGCAGAGGAGGTACAATAGAGAGGTTAAGATACCCCGGTTTCGGTGTACGGGTACGAGTGGTGTCATCTTGTTTTACTGATGTCTGTAATTCGATCATACTTTTTCTGTTTTCTTGCAATAGACAATAATATAATGCGAAAAATGTGCACCTTAATTACGAGTAA